TGCAGTTTTGGGGTTTATCGCACACGATTTCAGAATTGGGGTTTTGGGTTTCTTTATGTCATCGAATTCATCCATGTTTGTCATTAGTTTAATCATGAACTATGTCCTTTTGCTAGGATTAGGGTGTACTCTTATCATGAACATCTAATTCTTATTATTTCATATTGATCTCGGTTGTTTCCATGTTGAGTAATTGTTATTGTGCTTTATCGTTATCAAATAACTGGCCATTATTTGTGTGGAGAACTAAATTGGGACTGACAGGTTGAGTTTAGTAGATTGCTTCTCATAACAATTACCATGAATTACATAATTGAGTAGACATACTGATTATGACTTGTGTAGTATTGTGAAATTATCCATTTAGCGTAAAGGGATTCGATTATCTACTTCTGTGGCTAGACATAGCATGGGTAGATAGTTAGAAACACAGTTAGTATATTCTAAAAGGAAATATTGACGAATCAAGGGATAATTGCTAGCAACATGGGAATAATTTGAGTTTAATATGAATAACGGGATTAGATGGGATTGAGAATGAGGAGCCTGATGTCCTAGTGCCTCAATATATTTTTTTCATAATTCATTCACTTTTACTTCTTGTTCGATAAATTGTTAGTTCACTTTCGTTTGGTTTCTTGCATATTTGAATTTGTCATCGTAATCCTTCTTTTATTTACGTTTAGTTTGGAGTTAATCTCAATAGTAAATTTAGGTTAATCCGATCCTTGTTTGAACGACACTCTACTTATCACTATATTACTTGGACGATATTGTACACTTGCAATTATCAACAACAACAGGTCACTAGAGGTGACTCCGGTTTATGTGCTAGCAATGATTGATGAGCTATGATTTTAGTCGTACAGGTCACTATAGGTGACTCCGACTTTTATGCTAGCAATGATTAACGAGATATATGAGGAGATATGGATAAGTCGTATAGGTCACTAGAAGTGACTCCGACTTATGAGCTAGCATATGTTATGAATATGTGATGAGCTAACATATGTGATGAATATGTGATGAGCTAGCACATGTGATGATCCAAGGTCAAAAGCTAAGGGTTTTTAATTATGAAAACCATGGACTCTATGGTTTTAATAATGAAAACCACCCAAGGTGGACATGTGATGTGAATGAGCAGAGGTGTGGTGGACGGGTTAATGGTTTTAATAATAAAAACCACCACATAGTGGGCTTTTTATAGTTTTAAAGTTTGTTATATATATTGTGACACATCCCGACCCGGAATGTCCACTAGGACTCTGAATCGAGCTGTGCTGGCCAACATCTGGAAGGTGACGAAGCCATAAAATGTGATGATGTGGAGGATTGTGAATAAATTTAAACCTAACAGTGCCTAAATACCAGAGTGCACCGGTGAGTGAGAATGAACCCACTTCACACGTGACGTTAGAGCATAAGCAAGTACAAAAAAGTGAATTAAGAATCGTACCCTCGAAATAATCTCCAATACTAAGAATCGCCACGAATCTTCGACGATAAGAAAGCTCAGCTAATAAAACCTAGAGGGTGAAGACAAGACAAAGGTGAGTGGCCCTGTAAGTAAAATTTTAATAGAAACCATGCAAAACATTATAACCCCTCACTACAGCACCTGTATAGTTTCCAAAAAATTCATAATATACCACAACACAACATTTCATCAATAATATCAACTAATCATGCGATTAATAACTCATACTATTATGCAAGTCGGAGTCACCTAGGGTGACCTGTACAACTTACCCATCTCATCACATATGCTAGTTCATAACATATTCATTAAATATGCTAGCTCGTTACGTATTCGTTACATACACTAGCTCATCACATATTCATCACATATGTTAGCTCGTCTCTTATTCGTTACATATGCTAGCTTATCACATACTCATCACATATCTCATCAATCGTGGCTAGCATATAAGTCAGAGTCACCTCTAGTGACCTGTGCGACTATACTCATATTTCATTAATCATTGCTAGCATATAAACTGAAGTCACCTCTAGTGACCTATACGGCACTACGCCTGCACACGAGTCAGAACCACAGTAGTGGTCTGTACGACATGACTAGGGTGTAAATGAATATGCTCTAGCGCTACGATCACGTGAAGAGTCACCTACGAGTCAGAACCACCTATAATGGTCTGTACGACAGGCTTGTGCACCTACCTTGAATTCAAAGTGAGCGTATGGTGCGGGAGGTTAACATTACGTGAAGTACTGTTCCCTGGCCACGGGCGGGAGCACTAACATCGAGGTGCAGGTTTATGAGCTTTGAATGTATCTAATACAACATGTATGACTCATAAGCAACCTGTACGACAATGCCGAAGTTGCCTACTATTGCAACCTATACGACAATGTCGGAGTTGTTTTAAACATAAATGTAGTCATATTATAACCCCATCAATTCAACGTATACTTACTTGAACTTACCTAAACTTACCTGAACTTACCTGTGTGTCCTGCGTTCACCTTTGCACTTCAAAACGTTCACAATAATTAATGCAAAGAATATACGTATGGATATGCCATGATGAAATCTAAAATAAAAACATTTCATAGTATTTCCAATTATGTAATACGGTGTACTAACTGTTAATCACCAAAATATAAAGTTAAAACACACATTTTTGACCAATATCCCTCACATTGCTCAATTCCTTAAATAAGGCTATTGTCTCGATTATATAATCTCATTTCTTATATGGCTGCATATAACGTCTTGTTAGACTGCCTACGTACCCTAAACAGGGATCAAGCCATCCGTAGTTCGTAATAATCATTTATAGTAATACGCATGGATATATCACGATGAAATCTAAACTCAACCATCTCATAGTATTTTATAACATATAAATATATATATGTCATGGCATAAATTTTTCAGTTTTATTTAAAAGCATTTATAGAATTATCAATCATGAAAAATATGATAAGCAAGGAAAGATCCACTCACCTGGAGTACGCGCTACAACTTCCTAGCACAAACATCGAGGCATCACAAATGATCGGCGCCTGTGACCAAGGCCAATTTGGCCTGGAAAGGCTCCAATTTCATCAAAACCCGTTGGAACCCTAGAATTGGGTGTGCTTTGATTCAACCTCCAAACATGTTCCGACGCCTCCACCACTGATTGGGCTTTGTTCCTGGGTTCTAGGGGAGTCTAGTGGTGGTAGCAATTTGCTGGATTACCTTCACAATCGTCGGATTTTGCCATGGTACCCTCGGAACCCACAGTTTCGTTCTACTAGAATTCAAGCTCAAATCCTATAAAATTTGATTGGGAATGGAAGAGGAAAGGACTAGGGGATGATTGGGAATTGTTTCTTGGTCCAAATTCGTGAGAAATCCGGCGGAAACCACCAGAAAATATGGAGAATTGGACTAGGTGTACACGGGTCACGGGTTGGGAACCCATTTCCCCCTTTTCCCCCCGCTTTCCACTCTCCCTCCTTTCCCTCCTTGCTTCTGCTTCTAATTAGGCAGTCTTCTCTCCTCCTCTCCTCTAATTGGGCAGCAGCCCTTCCCTCTGTTCTCTCTCCCGTTGCCCTTTTTTCTTCCTCAACTATTTTTAAAATCACTAAATGATAAACAAAATATATCATTATAAAAATGTATAAAATATATAAATAGTGACTAAACAAAAGTACTTCTCGGTTTTATAATTCCGTAACGTCGAGTTCTTCAAGAAAACGCAAAGTATTAATTCATACACCTCACTATACGTTGGTCAACGGATGTCAAGACCCTCACCTCTAAGGCATTTTCGTAAAATCACACTTTTAAATTTTGTAAAAAAACGTAAGATTTGGGACGAGTTGTCACATATTGTGTGTGTGTGTGTGTGTGTAAATCTTATATAAATTATAAATTATAAATTATTTAGATAATTTTTTTTTCTTAGGCAAGCATATCATATATGTACATAAAACATTCACATGTGTATGTTCTTCAATAAGAAATAACATATTAGTCAATAATTATTTACATTTGATATAGTAAATTTAATTAATTCATAAAATATATAAGAAATTTACCAAAATCCGCCTAGACCCGCCTAGGCGCTTAGGCGCTAGGCACTAGCCCACCGCCTGACTAGCGCTTAGTGTTTTTTAGAACCTTGGTTTTTTACGATTTTTTACGTATGCAATATCGGAGTGTGTACAAATAAGTTCGACGGTTGGATCGTTGAAAAAAGTTTCGTAGAATGCATATTGAGTCAAAACGGTAGATTAAACAAACACTTAGAGTTAATATTATACTTCCATTAAGTATAAAATAAGATTTTTTTGGTATCCACTAGTGTAAATATTTTAAATTGAAGATCGAATTCATTCATTGCATTCTTATAGGTCGAGGAGTGTAGCTGTAAAAAAATCATCAAAACTGGAGCTAAAATAACCGTTAAATTGTGATTTTTCGTTTATAACCGTCGAAAACTTTTGTTCCGTTACCTAATCTCTGAATGTTTTTTTTTTTTTTTTTTTTTTGCGATTCTTTACGTATGTGATCTTGTAGTATCTACAAACAAGTTTGACGGTTAGATCATTGAAACTAGTTTTGAAGTAGGAAAAGTAATTTGTGCTAAATTTTTATTTATGTTTTTCAAGTATTAATTAGACAATATTTAGTTTGTGTGAGATGGCATTTTCATTGTACAATTATCTTTTTGTTTCTTTATCGCATATATTACATGGGTTATTATGTATTAAACCAAACAATTATTTATATTAATTTTTAAAAATGTATTATATTTAAATACATATTATTTATTTATTTATTAAACCAAACCATTATTTTTTTATTTTTTTTAATTGTAACAAAATTTTGGGAGAATTTTTGCAGTCATTTTTTTTGTCGGTTATAACTGATAGTAATTAAAATTTTCTGTTGGTTTGTATTTAAAAAAATGTTTCTGTCGATTTTAACCGACAGTAATGAAAATTTTTCCAAAATAAAATCCCTACATCTCTTTCATGCGCCGATGCTTTCTCCCTTTCCTCCCCTTTCCTCATTTTCTCCTGGTGCGGAAAACAAAGATGCTAGTGATACAGAGGATGACAACGAGGATGAAGAAGATGAGAAGGTGGATGACCCGGAGGATGATGATGCCGGAGTTGAGGACTTCTCAGGCGACGAAGGGGCAGATCAAGAAGGGGATCCAGAGGATGATCCTGAAGCCAATGGCGACCGAGGCAGCGATGAGGACGATGATGAAGAAGATGACGATGATGACGATGGTGATGATGACGATGATGAAGATGAGGATGGAGAAGAAGAGGAAGAAGAGGAAGAAGAGGAGGAAGAGATTCTACAGCCACCTGCTAAGAAGAGGAAGTGAGAAGAGGAGCCAGTCGTCCTTTGCCATTGTGTTGTTTCCTCTTCGTTTTCGAAACCGAGGCCATGAAGGCCGCTTTGAACCACCTTTGGCCGCCAGAAATCCCACTTGGGGAAGTGAACAAACGGCTCATCAGAGGGCTGAGTCGCTGTGAGATGGCTAGGTTTAAATTCAGAAAAGGGTGCATTACTTTTTATGTTTATGCAGTCAGGCAAGTTTAAAACATGGGTTTCTCAAGTGCTGATGATCTCAGAACAATTTTGCAGTCTGTGGTGGCGCTTCAATATTCTTGGATCACACTGCTATGCTTGCCACGCCTAACCAGAGAACCATTTGCTATGCAAATGCTCATCCTGTGGCCAGGGCTCACTAGGAAAATTTTCATATTTTTAACTTCTTTTTTCATGAATATTATTATCTTCTATTAGGGTTTTAATTTGCTTAATTGGGTTTTGTTATTATGATGGGGGAAAATTGGTTTATTTGTTGAAGATGTTAAATTGTTAATTTCTGTTGAAGCAAATTGTGTATTGTAGTATGAATAAAGAATTCTGTAATATTTTTCTCAACGCGACATCAAATTGTTTATGTTTATTTAAATTGGCCTTTTTATATTTTTTATTATTATTAATATATTTGTCGGTTTTATCCCACAGAAAATGCTCTTATTTATAATTTTTTGTCGGTTATATCCGACACAAGTACTGTCGATTTTAGAGTATTTTCTATCGGTTTTATACGACAGAGAATGCTCTTATTTATTCATTATTAATATATTCTCTGTCGGTTATATCCGACACAATTTTTGTCTGTTTTAGAGTAATTTTTATTGGAAAATTCATTTCCTGACGCTGGCAATTATGTCGCTTATTATATCCGCCACTGCATCCATTTTCTGTCTGATTTTGCTTAAAATCCGACAGTAATATACGTTTTTTGTCGATTTTTGGATCGCTAGTTATAGATAATTTTGTAGTAGTATTACACCCACATGTGAAGGTCAATGGCCACATGTGTTTCATGTCATCCCGTTTGTATTATTCACGTGTTAAGTTTGAAAATTCATCATACATAAAGAGTCATGAGAGTGAAGATAAAGTCGAAATTCACCACACATAAAGAGTCATGAGAATGTGAGAATTAAGTCCCACCTCTTAGCGAGGAACCAAAGCTACCACACTCAATGTCAATGCACGTACAAGGCGCTTTGGGGGCGGATTTGGCAATCGTGGGAATGACACTGAATTCCCCAGGTACGTGAACTTGCAATTACAATCAAACATGATGAACAACAGTAATAATAAAACAAAACATTTTTGGAGCATGTCCTGGTTATATAATTATGGTTGCCAACTAATGCAATTTGACTACTTACAGCCTGCTCGACTACTATTTCGTTTTTCGTTATTAGCTTTCATTTTGGTGTGAAGTGAAACAGGTCTGACGGACTGATTTTGAGTATGGAAGGCATGTACCTTCTCAGTTCCCCTTCACGGGCTTGTTTGTGGATTCTAGAATGGTGTTAAGCGTACAAAAAGTGTTTTTTATTGCATTTGGCATGAATACTTATAAATTTTTTTGTTTTACAGAAGCATTTATAAATAAGAGTGTTCTTTATTGCGTTTGACATGAAATCTTCAACTGGTTCATAAGAAAATGACTTCTTATAAAAGCGTTTATCAATAAAAGTGTTGTCTATAGCACCTTTGTTATTTTGGATTATATTTGTTTCAAAAATGGGTATTTATCTGACATTTCACCATACATTTACAGAGATTGGCCCGCCGGCACGTTATGGTTATGAAATCATTTTATTTTTTAATAATCAGAAATAAACTATTATGTATAATGACAAAAGCTTGCTAAGTGCCAAGTTCATCTAATTAGAAAGATACCATGTACAGCCGTCAAGCCAACAAAGTATTCCTTCACTTGAATATTATATTAATCCAGTCCGCCAACAAAGTATTCCTTCACTTGATTATTATATTAATCCAGTCCTCCTGCACTCCCAATCAATTGCCGTTCCCAAACACTGCACCCAGTGCACAGCAATGGCATCCGATTCCCATTCCAGCTACCTGTACTCCCTCTGGTCTGAATTCCACGAACCAAGTACTGACCAAACTTTGCTGATCTTCATCTCCGCCATTTTCCTCGTCCTTCTGTACCTCTGGCTGGTTAAAAAATCCAACAACCCGAACCCGCCGCTGCCACCCGGCCCACGCGCCCTGCCCTTGCTCGGGAACCTCCTCTCCCTCGACCCAGAACTCCACTCCTACTTCGCGGGCCTGGCCCAATCATACGGCCCCATCTTCAAGCTCCGCCTCGGCAACACCGTCGGCGTTGTAGTCACCTCCCCTTCCTCAGCTCGCGAGATTCTCAAGGACCATGACATCACCTTCGCCAACCGCGACGTCCCCTCCGCGGGTCGGGCCGCGTCGTACGGGGGATCCGACATCGTGTGGACCCCGTACGGACCGGAGTGGCGGATGCTGAGGAAAGTTTGCGTGCTGAAAATGCTCAGCAACACCACTCTTGACTCGGTGTACGAGCTCCGGCGGAAACAGCTCCGACGGACCGTCCGGTACTTCTACGATCGGATCGGATCGCCGGTCAACGTGGGGGAGCAGATATTCCTGAACGTGATGCATGTTATTACGAACATGCTGTGGGGTGGGACCGTGCAGGGAGACGAGAGGGCGGGGCTCGGGGCAGAGTTTCGGGAAGTGGTGTCGGAGATGACGGAGCTTTTGGGGAAGCCGAATGTTTCGGACTTTTATCCGGGTTTGGCCAGGTTTGATTTGCAAGGGGTGGTGAGGAAGATGAGCTGGTTGGCTCGGAGGTTTGATGGGATATTTGAGAAGATAATAGATCAACGGCTGAGAATTGACAAGGAAGGGGAGGAGGGGAATAAGGATTTTTTGACGTTTTTGTTGAAGTTGAAGGAGGAAGGAGGAGATTCCAAGACGCCTTTCACCATGACTCATCTCAAGGCCTTGCTCATGGTAAGTAAATGTTTGACTTACTTTGAATTTGTGGCGACCTTTTAGTTTTACTTTTCACTTTTTTTTTTTCTTTACTAAAACTTGTTTAGTAACGGTTTATCGAATTATTGTTGGAAAAATTACAAAAAAATTGTGATATTTTTCTAAAAAGCGTGTAGACATTAGGTTGGGGCGCGGTATCTCACTCTCTATTAAGGAGATTCAAGCTCACTACAGCTTGACAATAATTCATGATAGGATTTTTTAAAAACTCTTAAAAATACTTGCAAGAGTACAAGGTTGTCGTAGTATAGCAGCTCAAGTAAGGTCGTTTTCCACAGGGATTGAATGAATAATTTGTGTTTAAAACCAACTCTCAATTAATTATTTAAAACAAAGTTTGGAAAATGTTGATTTTAGAATTTAATATAATAAAAACGAATTTTAAAATAAAACAATTAAAGAAATTAACTAGAGAACAATTTAAAAGAAAATCAATTTGTAAAAGCCTAAGGTTCCGCCGTTTCCTTAACAATCCTACGCAATTTTACCAATAACTTATGAATTTCCACACACATGCTTTGAGGTTAGGTTTTCTTAATGCATATTTTCCTCGTAATGTTTAAGCGAAAACGTATATCTAACATGCAACCCGTCTATAATGTTCAGATCAAATATAAACATGCAAGACTCATTAGGCTTTGTGAAAACCCTTTGAAAAACCATGCAAACCTTAAGAGCATGATGTTCGCCTTAAGTGAACTTACAATTACTAATCACAAGAAGCCCTCCTCAATTTCAGGGTGATGTTCCAACAGAAATTACATCAAATTACTTGTCTAAAAACCCTAATGGTCACAAATCACTAAGACAATTAGATAGCTTTAATCGCGGTGATTAATAATTCAAAGCAAGCATGCATCTATTCATAAGCAAATTAATAAAATCACATATTCATGCTAAAGCTCATGGCTTCGCCCTAACAAACGGAAATTAGTTACGAACAACTATAAAAACTGAAGAAATATATTAACTAGAAAAATGAATGAAAACACCTTGTAGGTAAAAAGTCTGAAGTTCTCCAAAACTAGGAAATAAAATAATAAAAGGATAACTAGGAATTACATTCCTATTTCTAAACCTTCAGGGCTCCAAAACAGGTTCAAAACGACTCGAATTAAAGATTAGGACCTCCTCTCCAAGTTCCAAGAAGAGCCTAAGTCCAAAATATATCATCTTCCAACCTAAAAGTCGCAAATAAGCTCTGCAACCAAATCTGCCAGCACCGCACGCTAGGCATAAATTAATTCGCCACGGTCAGATGCTTAGGGATAAAATTATGAAATTTTGATATAACCTTCCTGACAGATTCAAAAACCTGTTCTAATTGGAATCACTAAAAAATTCCACCGTTTGGTTACTTTATGCTCCAAACAAGTTTGCATGCCCTACATTAAAAACACATAGCAAAGCATCAAAATCTTACCAAAATAATAACCAAAATATATCAAGAATAGGGAATAATATATAGTATAAAATTCACTCATGAGTTCACGAACCAGTTCAGCAATATATATTTTGACTTGCCCCTTCTAGAATATAATAGTCCAACTAATCGTCATGTGACCAACACCTAGCTGCACACAAAAAACAAAACAAAAAAAAAATATATATATATATATAACTTTTAGTGAAGAAAAAAATATAAAATTTGAGACTAAAGCTACACCACAAGGAGACTCTTCTTCGACCAATAAGTAAAAGATGGAAAAGACGGAGGAATGAAGAATAATAGTTGTAGAGGAAATTATTAGTTGGATGATAAATAAAAATATGATTGAGAAATGCTACTAATTATAGGTTTATTATCACCCTTAGTTAATAGGCTAATAAACCTAGAATTAACAACAAAAAGAGTTACAAGAGTTAAAGTTTAAAAGACTCCATTTAATTCCCCACTAATAACAAATGACAAATAAACTTAATTTCCCACTAACAACCAAATTGTAAGATCTCACATCACCCAGAGAAGTGATTCTTATATGTATATTTTCATCCCTACCTAGCACGAGGCCTTTTTGGGAGCTCATTGGTTTCGGGTTCCGTAGGAACTCTAAAGTTAAGCGAGAAAGGGGCCAGAGCATTTCCAAGATGGGTGACCCACTGAGAAGTTTTGCTCGCGTGAGTTCCTAGAAACAAAACCGTAAAGGCGTGGTATGAGCCCAAAGCAGACAATATCGTGTTACGGCGGTGGAGTCGAGCTCGGGATATGGTGGGGGCCCGGGCCGAGATGTGATAATTTGGTATCAGAGCCTAACCTGGCTGTGGTGTGCCGACGAGGACGTCGGACCCCTAAGGGAGGTGGATTGTAAGATCGATCCCACATCACCCAAGGGAGTGATCCTTATATGTATATTCTCATCCCTACCTAGCACGAGGCCTTTTGAGAGCTCATTGGCTTTGGGTTCCGTAGGAACTCCGAAGTTAAGCGAGAAAGGGGCCAGGTCATTCCGAAGATGGGTGACCCACTGGGAAGTTTTGCTCGCGTGAGTTCCCAGAAACAAAACCGTAAGGCATGGTCTGGGCCCAAATCAGATAATATCGTGCTACGGCGGTGGAACGGGCCCGGGATGTGGTGGACCCCGGGTCGGGATGTGACAAAATAATGACAACTATAATTAATTTATTTAATATTAAATGTACCAACATTCCCCACTCATTTTTAATATTAATTTAGGAGAAAAGAAAGAAAAAAAAATACTAGCTAAAGACGTATCATCATGCATCATGAAGGTGACTCTGCATTAAACCTCCATTAGTGAAACAATAATTCCTACTCCAAAATTGATAGTGGCCTCAGACTTGAACTACAACTGCTTGTGGGAAAATAAGAATTACTACTCATACATAATAACCCATGTATTAATTTGGGTTTTAATAGCTAGCATGTTATGGCCTTGTGCTAATTCCGGTTTTCATGAGTCTATTTGAGAGCAAGCCTAAATTTTATAGAAAAACTGCCCCACTCTCTCACTCATATAGGTAAACTTTGTCAAGGATGTTCATGTAATTATAACATTCCATTCAACATGTGCTACATATTTTATTAAGAGTTAAATAAACTCAATCCTCCAAAATGCTACAGGATAAATGACACATCCCGTCTCGAAGGAAGGCATGCTGGCCGTCACGTGAGAGTGATGTAACCATTTACACAGTTCGGAAGCTTTAAGGATACAATTACGAAGATGTAACACCCGAGGGTGAGTCCTACTTTTGTGAATTCTGTTAGAACACCGTTGGATTCCTTGTGGCCACCAAAGCTCTGATACCAAATTGTCACATCCCGGCCCGGGATCCACCACATCCCTAACTTTGGGAGCTCACTGGCTTCGGGTTCCATCGGAACTCTGAAGTTAAGCGAGTAGCGCACGAGAGCACTCCCATGATGGGTGTCCCACTGGGAAGTTCTCGTGTGAGTTCCCAGAAACAAAACCGTGAGAGCGTAGTCGGGACCAAAGCGGACAATATCGTGCTACGGTGGTGGAGCGGGCCCGGGATGTGGTGGACCCCGGGCCGGGATGTGACAATAAATGCACTAACACCATAGAAAAATACTAATTATAAGTTTATTATCACACCTGTAATAAACCTATAATTAACAATAAAGAGAGTTACAAGAGTTACAATAGGTGAAAGGTTAAAAGATTCCACTTAATTCCCTACTAATAACAAATAATGGAAAAGGATCCTAGCCGGATCCTTTTCCTAGGGATCCCGCAATCGTGTTCCTTCATCGTACATTATGCGATCATAAATCATTTAAAATTTAAAATTCAAATATAAATAGTATCTAACGAAAATTGACCGCACGATATACAATGAACGAATACGATTGCAAGATTCCTTAGATCCCTAGAAAAAGGATCTAGCAAGGATCCTTTGCCACAAATAATAACAACAAAACTTAACTTTCCCCTAACAATAAAACAATGACAATTTTAATTAATTAATTAATATTAAGAATGCACGTTTGACAAAAAAAATATTAAAATGCACCAACATTTATTAACTAAAAGTTGAAAGGTAAAGTTTGAAAACTCAAAAATTTTTGGTTTTCAGTTTTAGTTTGTCGCTATGAAACAAATATGCAAATAAAGTGGAAACAAAAACAAAGGCGATTCGGTTATCATTTTCTATGGAAGTTTTTGCCTACCCAATCAACTGCATATGGTCCACCATCATTTTCTAAATGGACGTTTGTGCTTACCCAACTTAAGTGCATGTGGTCCATGAGCAAGGATGGGCAACGGTTATAGAGGGCAGGTAACCGTAATTATTTACTCATAATCGTTAAGTTCTTACTCGTATAATGGTTTACCCGTTGGGTAATTGTATAAACGGTTATACTAGGTACATTTAACATGCATTTCTGTATTTTAATGTTTCAAGTCCTCAAAAAACTTATACATATTATTGTATCATTGATGAAACATGTTACGACTGCCGTATTATGTCATGTAGGCTAGGCAAACGGGTTGTATTTGTCGTGTCTCGTGTAGTTTTCATGTAACACTTGTTATCTTAACGAGTTGTGTCATGTTACACTCGTTATCTTAACAGGTCCTTAACAGGTCAGGTCATTTTACCCATTAAGTAAAAGGACCCAACCCGTTATGACCCATTAAGAAAATTATTTTTTTTTTCCTTAAATTTGCACATACCACATTGCCACATAAATATTACTTCAAAACATAAAAACACATTTGTCGTTAAGTACTACATCTACACTCCAAAGTAAGAGCCTAATAAAAAAAACACCAATACACTACTAGTCTACTACAAAATATCAAATGTGTAAGGATATGTAAAATGAAAAAAAATTTCTTTTCAAGGTTGTGAAGTCTTTCTCAGAATTTAAAACATTGCCAATGCGGTAAAGTGACCTGACCCGTAAGAAAAATATTTTTTTCTTCTTAAATTTGCACATATCACATTGCCACATAAATATTACTTCATAACATAAAAACACATTTGTCGTTAAGTACTACATCTACATCTAAAATAAGAGCCTAATAAAAAAAAACACCAATACACTATTAGTCTACTACAAAATAATGTACTGAAGAAATTTATTTGTGAGAAGGGTCAGGTTTTATATGAAACCAAATAATTCTAAAGACAATAAATGATTACAAACTTGGCAAACGGTGAGGAGGGTCAGTTAACCATTCTAGGCCTTAATTGACTCCGCCTATAACCTAAGACCTCTCACTTACAAATAAAGAGGAATACCTTTATAGAGTAGTATTAAGTGGCAAAACCATCCAATAGTTTGATCACTAAATTCGTAAGTTTTCATTCAATGTTTCTGTGTGCATGAGGTTATGTCTTTTCTTGAAACATGATGCGTTGGGACAACCTTAATCTCAAATTCAATCTCACTTATTGACATGGTTTATTGTTTTACAGGAAAACTAATGAAAATGGCTTGAAAACTTTGAGTTTTAATGATAAGGACAAAATAAAGGGTAAAGTGAATAGTACCAGGATTGACTTTTTAGTGTAAAAATGTGGTTTTTTGTTAAAGTGAACAGTACCGGGTGCTTTTCATTAAACATCCCTTGTTTTACAGGGTACGTTAAATTTTAGCCTTACATTGGTGGCTAATCGTTTAGATTTAGGTTTCAAGTTTCAGTTTTAGCTAATGGAAACTCTTGTACAAAGTACCTAACCTCCTACCTGTATGAAAGTTACTTTCCACATGAGGATTTGTTTTCCCTTGTTTCCAAAGAGCCAATTAGTACAGTAACACAACTTTCTATGGACAGGATATGGTGGTGGGTGGGACTGACACTTCCTCCAACACAATTGAGTTTGCAATGGCTGAAATCATGAGCAAACCTGAGATGATGGAAAAAGCCCAGCAAGAGTTAGAAGACGTAGTTGGCAAACACAACATTGTAGAAGAATCCCACATCGACAAATTGCCATACTTACAAGCTGTGATGAAAGAAACTCTGCGCTTGCACCCAGCCTTGCCTCTGTTAGTCCCTCATTGCCCAAGTGAAACATGCATTGTGGGAGAGTACACCATTCCAAAAAGATCTCGGATTTTCATCAATGTTTGGGCCATACACAGAGACCCTTTGATTTGGGAAAACCCGTTGGAGTTCAATCCAGAGCGGTTCTTGGATAGCAAATGGGACTATAGTGGGAAAGACTTCAACTATTTTCCATTTGGGTCAGGCAGAAGAATATGTGCTGGAATTGCAATGGCTGAGAGGATGGTGATGCATTTACTTGCTACACTTTTGCATTCTTTTGATTGGAAATTGCCAAAGGGAGAGAAGTTGGATCTTTCTGAGAAGTTTGGGATTGTGTTAAAGAAGAAAATACCTTTGATTGCCATTCCAACTCCAAGGTTATTAGATCCAGCACTCTACGAGTAGAACAGTGCTGCTATCAAATTCCTTGGAATACTTCACTTGTAATAATTAATACCAACTTAAGCCCAAAAATATTTCTCAAAAACTGCATGTTTACGATAATGTTCTATTGTGAGATATCGATATATATATATGTATATATATATATATATATATATATATATATATATATATATATATATATATATATATATATATATATATATATATAGATTATGAATTTATGCCAAACTTATGTTCCTAGAAATTTCTAGGTATAAGAGCATTTGTTATTGAAAACCTCAAGCTTATGTCCCCTTTTCTTTTCTCAAGCATTTCCGGATTTGACTTGTTTTATTCTTCTCTGTTCAAATGATGAAAAGTGATATTTCAAATTGCTCAAGTCCGAAGGATAGGACTAATTCCCAGTGAAATCCGAAAAATTACAATAAAATTGTGATATTGAATTGCCTAGACATTTGGTTAAGACGTTGGTATCTCACTCTTTTTTTCTAGATTCAAGCCCAATGTGGTTTGACAAAAGTTCTCGAACCGATGCAGCAACATATATCCTAACTTGCCCCCTCCAAAATATAACAGTCTAACTGAATTGTCGTGTGACTAAAACCTAGCTGCACAAAAAGGAAAAGTCCACAAAAACACCCATCAGTGGCCAATAAGTAAAAGATGGAAAAGATGGAGGCATGAAGAACAATAGATGTAGAGGAAAATGCTAGTGGGATGATAAATAAAAATATGATGGAGAAAATGCTACTAATTATTGTTTATTATCACTTGAATAGGGTAATAAACCTATAATTAACAATAATAAGAGCTACAAGAGTTACAATAAGTGAAAGGTTAAAAGACTCCACTTAATTCCGTAGTAATAACAAATAACGACAAACAAACTCAACTCCCCACTAGCAATCAAATAATTATAATTTATTTATTTAATATTAAAAAGAATTTTTATCACAAATGATCCTTAGAATTAGCCCACTCCATCAAAATGATCTCTGAAATTAAAAATTGATCAATGTCGTCCCTAAATATGGGTGCTGCAGATCAATGTAGTCATTCCCTTAATATTTTGTCAAATAATATGTTAGTTTGTTGATGTGACACATTTATGGATCCATATACTCTATTAAATAGCAACATGTGGATTATATCAAGTTATTATTTTTAAGAATGATCAAAATTCTGAAAACAATAAACCTGAGTAAATAGAAAGAAATAAACAAAAGTTTTGTCATTCTGGCTTTTAAGATCTCTCGACTCTCTAGTTCTTTCCACTGCTTTTGATCTTTTGGATCGTAATCGAAGAACCGATTCTCCCTCAGACTTGGTCTCATCTTCTCCCGGTTTTGACCATGGTCAATGGAACAAGAGGGGTGATGCCAGAATGTGATTAAAATTTTAATCTCATTTTGTTATGAATCTTATTGATTTTGGTCTTTCTGACTTATCAGACCAGATTATGCATAGATAATGAAGATTACAGAAAACTGTGGTATCTCTATAGCTATGGGATTACTGGCGATGTCTAAACCAAAAACAAATCTTGAAAATCAAAACTGGAAATTGCGAGTGGGGGGTCGTGGAAGAAAGTGGGGCGCCGGAGAAGGCAAGATGGGTGTGCGCAGAGGGGAGGTTCGTTCAGAGAGGGGGGGGGAGAGAAAGAAGGAAAGGGGAAGGTGTGAAAGAGGGAGAGAGAAGTCGTCACGTTGTGGGGACTTTGGCAGCTTTGAGTGGGTTGGTGGCTGAGGAGGGATGGGAATGGCAGCTTTAAGTGGTTGGGTGGCTGTGGCTTACTGTTCCCTTTTTATTTTATTTATTTATAAGCTTTGGGAAAAAAAAATCTATTTAAAAAATAAAACATAATCCACATGGTGCATTTTAATTGGATATATGAATTCATACATGTACCACATCAGCACACTAACAGATTATTTGACAAAATTCTAATGGAATGACTACATTGATTTGCAGCACCCATATTCATGGACGACATTGATTGATTTTCAATTTCAAGGACTATGTTGATGAGATAGATCAATTTCAAGGACCATTTGTGATAAAAACCCTATTAAAAATGCACCAACAAGTCATTTAGTACTACGGTTTAGTGATATTCCTCCTCACTTGTAAGTACCAACAAGTTATTGGTCCAACAAATGACGGTCTAAATTAGTATTCCTCCTCACTTGTTGAAGTACCAACAAGTGATGAAAACAAAATGACTTGTTAGATTTACAATGAGCTTGCCATACTAATGTAGTTCAACAAGTCATTTAGTACTACGGTCTAGTGATTCTCATCAAAAGCGAAGTTGAACTACATTAGTATGGCAAGCTCATTGTAAATCTTAGTTTACTCCCTCATCTCTTTACTATAGATACTTTCATTTGTTGAAAAAAAAAATTGCACCAACAATTATTAATTAAAAATTGAAATTAAAGTTTGAAAACTCAAAAAATATAACTTTTAGTTTTTGGTTTGTGGCTATGAAACAAATATGCAGACAAAGTGAAAACCAAAACAAAGCCGATTCGGTTATCATTTTCTAATTGGAAGTTTATGTCTACCCAATTAACTGCATATGATCCACTATCATTTTCTAAATGGAAGTTTGTGGCTACCCAATAAAGTGCATGTGGTCCATGAGAGTCTCCATGGTTTTGTTGTCTGCACTATTTTCATGTTTAGATTTGCAATGTTGCTGTCCCTTCTAAACTCATATGTCATCTCATCCATTTATTTTTTCCTACATCATGATTTCTTCTTTTCAAAAAGGTTTGTACATGACAAGTTTGTGGATAAATTCGAGTTCCGTATACCCGAGTTTAAAAAGAAAAAGGGAATTTTAAACCGCCTAATAGTGTTTTTTTTTCCTTAACAAATGATGGGTGCGCTTAATCTCATAATGAGTTAGCAATAATGTGGTTCAAATTCGTCTTTGGCGATAATCGAACCTAAGACGTGTCACTTACAAGTGAAGAGGAATACTACTAGACTGTAGTACTAAGTGACAAGACTGTCCAATAGTTTAACCACCAAACTTGTAAGTTTTCATTCAATATATCTGTGTACATGAGGTTATGTCTTCCCTTGAAACATTATGCATTGAGACAACATAAATCTCAAATTTAATCTCACTTATTGACATGGTTGATTGTTTTACAGTCTGCATTAAGTTTTTAGCCTTACATTGGCAGCTAATCGCTTAGATTTTAGGTTTCAAGTTTTTAGCCCTACATGTATGGAAGTTACTTTCCACACGAGCATTTGTTTTCCCTTGTTTCTTGAGAGCCAACTAGTATAGTAACACAACTTTCTATGGACAGGATACGGTAGTGGAAGGGGGGGGACTGACACTTCCTCCAACACAACTGAGTTTGCATTGGCTAAAATCTTGAACAAACCAGAGATGATGGAAAAAGCCTAGCAAGAGTTGGAAGATGTAGTTGGAAAACACAACATTGTAGAAGAATCCCACATCGACAAATTGTCATACTTACAAGCTGTGATGAAAGAAACTTTGCGCTTGCATCCAACCCTGCCTCTGTTAGTCTGTCATTGCCCAAGTGAAACATGCATTGTGGGAGGCTACACCATTCCGAAAGGATCTATGATTTTCATCAATGTTTGGACCACACACATAGACCCTTCGATTTGGGAAAACCCGTTGGAGTTCGATCCGGAGAGGTTCTTGGACATCAAATGGGACTACAATGGGAAAGACCTCAACAAATTTCCATTTGGGTCAGGCACAAGAATATGTGTTGGGATTGTAATGGATGAGAGTATGGTGATGCATTCTTTCAACTGGAAATTTCCAGAGGGAGAGAAGTTGGATCTTTTTGAGAAGTTTCGGATTGTGTTGAAGAAGAAGCTTCCTTTGGTTGCCATCCCAACTCCAAGGTTATCAGATCCAGCATTCTATGAGTTGAACAATGCTGCTATCAAATTCCTTAAAATACTTCACTTGTAATAATTAATACCAACTTAAGCCCAAAAATATTTCTTGAAAACCGCATGTTTACATCGGTATATCAATTATGAATTTATACCAAACTTTTGTTCCTAGAAATTTCTAGGTATAAGAGCATTTGTTTTGAAAACCTCAAGCTTATGTTCCTCTTTCTACGATTTTCTTTTCTCAAGCATTTTGGGATTTGACTTGTTTTATTTATCTTCTCTGTTAAAATGATGAAAAATGATATTTCAAATTGCTCAAGCCCGAAGGGTAAGACTAATTCCCAATGAAACTCGGGAAAGCTAAGTTACACATGGAATGAATATCAAGAATCTTCTTAAATAGAATTAGTCGATGCCTCTATTAAGACGATTTTGAATAAAATGTTTCAGTAAAAAGGTTTAACATTAGGATTTGGAGGTAACTTGAATGTTGTTCAATGAATCTATTTGTTGGTTTATATAAAAATAGGTGTAGCAAGATTAGGGTAAAAATATTGTTAGTTGATGGTTGGCATTATTTTATTTTTTAATTTTTGAACAAACGATATTATCTTCACAATGGGCTAGTAGTAATGTGATTCAAATTTTTCTTTGGCGAGAATCGAATCTAAGACCTCTCACTAACAAGTGAAGAGGAATATTACTAGGCCGTTGTATTAAGTGGCAAAACATGCTTAATTTATTTCTACTCAAACGATACCACTAAAATTAGTATCTTTGATGTTATCAATATCTAGAAAAAAGAAATGGGAGCTTTTAAGTTTAAGGGAATGTATTGTATATGACTCTTAAGTCTCGTTTGGCAACTCGAACTGTACAAACTATTTCAGTCGGATAGGACAAATAGTCTAGTACTGATTAAATTAGTTAGACGTTTGGTGTTATGTCGGATTAATTTGTCCATCGGATAATCCGTTGGATTATAATTAATTTTTTTTTAAAATCACATAATAATTGTTGTTAAAATGAAAAAAGGGAGAAAAATAGAAGGAAAAAAAGTAATTAAACATCATTAAGACAAAATTATAAAAAAATTATAAAAAAAGGAAGGTGAAAAACCCAGGTCTCTTCCCAGCGTGTCTTCCTTTCTTCACCATCTTACCCACGCTTCAAATTCCACCCTCCCATACGAACCCATTTCCTCATTTCTTCAATCACCCAAAACCCACATCGATTCACCAACCAAAACAACTATTGATTAAATTGAAGATCCAAATTAATGAAGAAAAGAAATCAATTCGTGGCATGGTCCAAGTTAACCGGAGCCGTCGGAGCCGGATCCAACGCTGTCGGCAACGGAAGATGATTGAGTTGCTAAGCTTATTGTTGTTGACGATCGATCGGGATTCTTGATCTCAACTACCTCTTCGTCCACATCGTCGTGCTTCGACGTCGACGGCTGAAATGTGAAGCGGTGGACGAAAGCGGAAATTGCTTGGCGACCGATTGCAGAGGAGTGGCGGTCGGCGTTGAGAACTCGTCGAGGAACTGCTCGTGAAGATGGAGCAGATTTGCCAAGGAGCAGATCCGTGAAACCGAACAGGGGAAGTGAGTGTGTTTTTGGTTAGCGCCCTCGATTAATAATACCAAGCTTTTGGGTTGTATTAATCGTCCAGTGTCAGCCGTACTAAATTTGATAGATGGTGTAATTAAGCGGGTGCTTATTTTTTAATTTTTTTTTATTTTTTTTAAAGCTAGGAAATCACATTCCAAGGCTAAGAAGCCAAACAGAGACAAGAAAGCCAACTCCAAGGCGAACACCAGGGATGACCAACCAAGAAAAAGAAAAGAGCAGTGAAAGGGGCTAAGACCAACAGAAACTTCAACTAAGTAAAAGTGTCACCCCAAGCACCACCAAAGAACCACTAATGAGGACAAGGAAGACCATCATTACATAAGACATACACTAACGAAGATGGGGGCCTATCGACCCACACAACATCACACATCTCCGTAAAACCAGCTGACGCGAGAGCATCTGCCGCCATGTTGGCTGATCTTGGAACCCAAGACCAGCGACAGTTCTGGAAAGACTTACTCAACCTAAGCGCCCTGGCCAAGAGCGGGTGCTTATTTAGTATGGGAATGCACCAAACAATGTCTACCGTATTATTAATCCTAATACGATGTGCCAGATTAGGCTTTAAATTCAAGTGTATTCAATCCTGGTTTTGTTGGAGACTAATACAAGTCACCTTGTATTGAATAAAGATTTTTTATGACTTCTAAAAAGTCTACAAAAATCTTGTAGTATTATATTATGACTTTTTTACCAGCTTACAAAAGTCTAGATGTATTCAATATTTCATTCATTTTAAAGGATTTTAAAAAGGGAGTTTTAACGAAACACTTCAGATACTGTTCATTTTTAACGAAAAACCACATTTTTACCTTTTCCTGGTACTATTCACCGCACATTTATTTGTCATTTTTCATTAAAACTAAAGTTTTTTTTTAACTTTTTGTTAGTTTTCCATTTTAAAAAAGTCATGGACTTTCAGAGACTTTGATGTGTTTTATGTTATAGTTGTTGTCATAATGAATCCAACCTCTCCTAATTTTTTTATGGATTTTGTTTTATTACTTCTAATGATTACTCCACCACCCACCATGATGCAATAAGGATCAAATATCTCCACTTCCGCAACACCATGTCGTCGCCATTGATGCCACTACCGTCACAATCATCTCACTTCTTCTACTATCACCTTGTCATACAATCATCACCGTGTCACAAGCTCCTAGAACCATATTTATGCCTCCACCGATACAACCAACATGATCGCCACTTGAAATACTACCATGTTAACTTGCCTGCCACCACCACTCCCTCCACTACCTCTACTACCACCTACGTTGTCACAACCATCATCATCATAACCTTCTGTGACCACTTTATCGTCGCCACCCCCACCTATGACTATTGACATTGCCATCATCATGATCACCACATTTACTTTCCTCTTATATGCCCATCACCACCACCACCCCCACTCCACCCCCACTCCCTCACTCCTCCACCACTCTAGCGCGACATTAGAAACACACAATTTACAAGAATTTGGAATAAAAAGATATAATGTTTATGGGTTAAGGATTCTTTCATATGTCTAACAATTTTGGTCATATCAGGAAAAAGTAAATTACGTAAGTGTAACATTACTTACTCTTAACTGGTTTCTTAGCCAAAAAAGAGGTATAATTATTACAAAGTTCGTTAAATTCTCTTGAACTCTAAAAAAAGTTGAGCATTAAACTCTCAAAAATATATAGGAGTCTATCAAGAAAAAGTGTGGATTTCAATAAAAGTCTATGAATTCTACAGAAGTCTATCACATAAAAAAGGTTGGAGCTCTACTCTTACAGAAGAATTTTCATGCAACAGTGATGTTGGCATATCATAGTTGATCACGTACTACTTTATAATATATTTTGTGTATATATAGGCATATCAATGTTAAATATAAGTTCCACATTGGGGAATTAAGAAAATAAAATACGATATACAAGTTTATGGTTCCACTCCTAATAACATCGAGACCTTTTATGATAAAATTCAACACCACAATATTAGTGTGGTTAGGAGTGGATCAAATGATCCGTCTCTTTGAATTTTTGACAAATCGATTGCATTATTAGAAAATATAAAACTTGAGATATATTTGGAAATTTAGAACTTGAGGCCTTGTCCAAGTAGGTACATGATACCACTAGAAAAATCAAGTATGGAGGTAGGCATACATAGAAATGATGGTATCATTTAGACAACCCTAGGTCATCACCACCATGTTAACCTGCCGAAACAGCCGGTCTGTCCATTTTATTCCACCACGTCGCCACCCAAAGGCGGCATACTTCTCAGTTACGCAACAACAATGACAAAATGTAATGGATTATACATATTTGTTTCGTTTTCATGAATCTTTGTCGAACTATAATTAGTGTAATTAGAGTGCTTTTAGAAATCTCCAGTCATCAGATTTCACGAGTTCATTGTCATACAAGCTAAGGCTAATCAAATTGATAAACTTTTAGGCGTATGTTCCACCACCAACATCACAAATTACATACTGGAATTCAACAATACATATACAATGCAAGATCATCCCACTAATTTCTTTTATTTTCGGGTCACGTCGCTTTCGTATGACTTGTAAGTTGTTACGTACTTATATACATCGAAGCTAATTTCATAGAAAACCCCAAAGTACCATATGGAGGAAACTTTCTACAAGCAGCTCATCATAAATACATCTTTGAGGTTAAAGCAACGGATTTCATGTGGAATGCGCTCTACCTTAATTAAGCGGAAGCAGCAGCCGTGCAAACGGGTATATCTGTGGCAACGTTAGGCGGAGTCCGAAGTATGGGGTTACTCTCAAAGAAATTGACAGGTTTGATATCGAAGCTAGATGACACAGTTGGCATTATAGGGAAGTCGGTATGTGATGAAACCCTAATGTGTACCAAACCACAATGTCCTTGTTCTCGATTGGTCGGTCCCTACAATATCAAAATGAATCGAATTGTATCAGCATAGTGTACATGTGATCATTAGTAAATTCGATGCAAATAAATAACCTAACAGTAGTATGTACGTACCTGTTAGACTACACGGCAAGAGTATCTTCGCCCGTGCTTTGGTCTACAAACAACCCACCAGCCCATTGTTCACTCCTATTGTATGGGGTAACCCAAATTTGATTGTTTGTAAAAGCACCTTTCTTTTGGGGAGGGTCGTCAAGATCAAGCAAGCTAGCAGCAGTGCCACCGGGAACCAACTTGTACCCTACAGGGTTTCCAACCCGTGTCCTTTTTGACGGGTTGATCATGTGGAATTCGGACGGGTCGTAGAGTTTGAGCTTAATCTGTACATCTTTCTCAGTTTTGGCAACGGTTTTAGTAGCTTTCAAGTAGCTTTTCCTGGGTGATTCAGTTGGGGAGTTGGACTGCCTTTGGAGATTCACCTTCATAAAGGAGTTATCTGAGCCGTCCACGTCCATATCAAGATGAAATGTGACGTAATGATCGCGAATAACACCAATAACGTTCTCCGACAA